GAACCTTTACAAGAAGACATGAGGCAGGGCAGCTAACTTTTCTGCCTGCTTGGCAACAACCAGAAGGTCTCCATGCTGCATCCAGGGCCTTGCAGCAGCAGCTCGCTTTGTAACAGAAGAACCATTCACTGGGCTTCTTCACAAAGCTTTAATTAAGGCCAGATTAGCTAATCACTTGGAAGTGGGGGTAAGTGGCCAGGGTTTTCTAAGAACATTGTATTAATTAACTAATTAATTAAAAGCCACCAGACTAGTTAAAGAAAAGAAACAGTAGATGTAGAAAAGTAAACACAGTAATGATTTTTTTCCATTTGTCCATGATGATGTTTAATTTTATTTTTAAGAGTAATATGAATGTCTTTCAAAGGCATGCTCACAATTGAATAATAGAAGTTACCAATTGTGTTATAACTTAAGGTGAAAAATCATATCAGTCAAACTTTTATTTGGCCAAAAAAAGGTGCAACTCCTTCCCACTTTGTTAAACTAAATCTGTCTCCTTCCACTTCCATGTGCTCCTCTTGTGATAAGCATAGAGGAATGTGATTAAGTACCCCCATCAATGGCCTATCCACTAAATGTTTAGTAGTGTATTGAGGGCCCATTCATGACTGGGTAAGAAAAAGGGTTTAACTAAAGATCGATTGATTTGAGGTCTATTTTGTGCTACTTTGCTGTTTCTTTTGACGTTATTTAGTCAATTATCTCTCAAGTTCTTATTTTCTAATAAAAACATGAAGGCATATGACAAAATACATCCTTCTCCACACACAAGTGTTCTGTCACCAGAGTTATTAATTTGCATGCCTTCTTTTCTGAATACAATCACTCTTCTTCCAGCTGACTTTGCAAAGATACTTACTCTGAGTGTTCTTCGGTTTCATGGGATCCCTTTCTCTTAATCCTGCAGCTGGAGTTCTGGTTTTTGTTTTGGGGAGTTTTTTATTGTTTTGTTATTGTTGTTTCTGATAGTATGGAGTTTGAACTCACAGCTTTACACTTGTGAGGTAGGCTCTCTAATGCTTTAGCCACACTTCCGGTTCTTTTTGTGGTAGTTATTTTAGCGATAGAGTCTTGCTTCTGGCCCACACCAACTTGGATTGTGATCCTTCTATTTTATGCTTCCTGGGATGACAGGCATATACCACCATAACCAGCTTTTTTCTGTTGAGATGGGGCCTCACAAACTTTTTTGAATGACTGGCCTAAGAACTTGTTACTCACAATTTCAGCTTCCAAAGTAGCTAGGATTACAGGCTTGAGCCACCAATGCCTGTCTTGGAGTTATCTTTATGGAATAAAAATGTAATGGGGTTTCCTCCACTGCTCTTAGAATAAAAAAAAGATCTCATCAACAATGTACAAGATGGTTCTCGTCTCTCTTTATGTTTCTAGCCCACTTTGTCTCTTCTCTACTTCCTCTCTGCTGTAGCCACGTTGGTCTTTCCTGGCCACTTGTCCTTGCTGTGCTCCCTCTAGCGCTGGTGCTACACATGAACTTCCCTCTGCCTGGAATGTCCTCCCTGCCCATCCTCACTTTGTTCAACCTCTTATCCTTCTGATCTGAGCTCAACTGTCACTTCACCAGAGATGATAGGTTAACTGTTTTCATGTCATACTTTTCTCTCTTTTTGAACTTACAGTTGCAATTTTATAACAAATCACATGATTACTTAATTAATGTTTATTTTCCCCAGGGGAATATGAATTCTGCTAAGGCAAGAATTTGTCTAAATGTTCTCACAACCAAATCCTCACAGAAGAATGTTGCAGGTGCTCTATAGAACCCAATGGTCTTTAACCGTATTTCCTATCATACACACAATGTGATCTATTCATGTAAAACATAGGTATAACTAGAAAGATTTTCCACAGAGTAAAATCATTTTTCATGCCCATTATTCTTCAGTTTTGTCTTCTTTTCTTTGAATTTACTTCCAACCTGAAATAGGAGTTTTGATGATGACAGTGAATAGAATTCCTTAATAAGGATTTGCTCTCATGTTATACATGGAGACATAATGCAATTTCTTTTCCTTTAATATATTCTATTGCCATTTATTAGCATTAATATGAATACTGTATATTAATATCAGAAAATTTAATATCAATGCCTTTGTGTATATCTCTGCTTTCTATTATTTTATTAGCATGAATATTAGTAAACACTCATTTCCTATAACGAGCATTAACTCTAGAAGTATTAATAATTTCATAGGATTTAACATGGAAAATGAATTCTGTTAGCAAGTTCACCTAAACCTACAAATACCTGTTTTTTTATGTGAAGCTATTTTAAAATACTGGATGAGTTAGGAGTGCAAAATGATTTAATTTTAGAAGATCACGAATGTAAAATAATGAGCACTGCAAAAGAACAACACTACACGAGAGGGAACAGGAGTTTCCATTTGACCTATACTGGTCTCTTACCAAAAGCATCTCCAGCCATCAGGTCACACTCATGCAGTGAATCGGTTCAGGCTACTGCCCTGCCAACACTGTAAAGGGGATTGGAGAAAGATAAAAAAGGCAATCCAAGGCTGATGTTGATGCTAAATGATGAAGCCCTCAATTTTAGAGTGAAGGAAATGTACAAGATTGTCAAATTCAAGCCCATTCTTTTATATGTGGGAGAAAACAAAGTCAAGAGGGGACAAGTCATTTGAGTAAGGCCACAGACTCTCACTGGGTAGCACAACCAGGATGGAAAGCTGGGTTTCTTGGCATATTATTTCCACCATTTTGTGTTTCCTGATTACATCAGTTCTCTAAGATTCTCTAGAAAAAGTAATGTAAGCAATAAAACACTAGGTCCTGATTACTTCAGTAACTGGAGAACCTACAAGCATGTTTAAAGTAACAGTAATGTGAGTTAAATCTTATTAGCTAGCAATTAATAATATGAACAGGTATCTGTTACCTTCTATTCCCTTAGAATTACTTAAATTTTTCAAATGTACATAAGAAGTATTAACAAAACTTACATGCTAAATACTAATGACTCTGGTTTCCATAGCTCTTTCCTGCCAACACAGGCCAGGTTATATATTCCATTTATAAAATTCTGACAATTTCATACAAGTGAATATTGACACAGTGACTTACGGTATGATGCTATACCAGTGGTATGTTCACATACCAGCTCTCCAATAAAACAAAGTTTTAAAAAATCTCTGATTTGTTGGATTTATTGACTTGTGTTATAAATACTCCCACCATGGCGATTTTGAGCCACCAAATCTATAAGAAATCACTCACAAACTTCCTCCATATTTAACAATTGGCTCCACTGCACTAGTCAGAGGCAACTTTAGTTCACTCCTGATAGTATAAAGGTAAGAAATGATTTGCCCCAACATTGCACAGTGGCTGAGCAGGTTTGAATATACAAGATATTCAATGAAGTGAAACTGTGTGACGGAAATAGTCAGTACCCTGACTATTTTTGTAGAGAGAAGACCAGTAGCACCTACACCAGTGAGCCTGTCAGAGATGCCTACTCTTGGTCTCTATCACAGACCTATTGTATTTCAACAAGCTCTCCAAGTGGTATATAACAACAGCAAAGAACCTTTCCTTCCACCCACAAATATTTTTTATGAATGAGATTCAAGTATGAATCAATAGCTATTTTTATATCAGCATGTACTAAAGGAGATATATCATCTGAAACTTCTATCATAAAGTCTGCAGTCTTTCACATTTTCCAAGACTGTACTTTTCAAAATAGTTTAGATTTTTTAAACAAGTTGAGTTATTTACCTTCCAATTGTCAAGCCCAATATTTCATAGACCAAAACCTAACATATGTATCATATGCCTTTGTCATGGCACTTTTAATGTTTTTTTTCCAAAAAAAACCCCACCCAACTTCTAAATAAATATTTACTTTTCAAGGTTTTGGAATGCCTCTGCACAAAGCAAGGCAGTCAGTAGCAGCAGGGTGCTTTCCCCAAACACATCTACTGTAGTGACAACTGATTGTGTATTATATATTTGTATTTCTGTTTATCTGCCACTTCCTGTTGTTTGATTCAAACTCCCAATGTTAAAAATCCAGAACAAACACAAATAAATATTGCCTGTTATGTTTTCCTCTTCCAATATTTTAGAGGCTGGGAAATTTACAAAATAAATATCCTCTCACCTTGTTATAACAGCATTACAAAAGAGAAAAGAAACAATTAATAGTTCCCAAAATTTAAAAACCCAACAAAGGACCACCAAATGACAAATATCTATACAGACAGTATTTTGAAAATAATCAGACAGTAATCTAAAAATGCCGGTCTATGATTCTTAGTTCACTATTCCTTTTTAATTTTACTTGGAGGATAAACTTAAGTATGTTCGATGTATTTTCATAGAAATAAGAGAGCTAATAAGACAAGTGCTGGTAGATAACAAATTGATGAAAATATTTTGGAAGAGGATTTAATTATTTCCACACTTCCTAGGAAATACAAAACTCCTTGCTCTTGGCTTTGGGAAGATATTTTCATTGGATTTAGTGGTAGATGCTTTCAAGGAAGCTAGAGGATGGACATTATACTTCTCTAATTACCTGGTCCTGATAGAACCTGAATTTACCAAGCATTGAGAAAAGCTTTGGGACTCAGGATGTCATCATTCTGCAATTAACCCTTCTGATTAACACATCTCAATAAAATCAGCATCTTTCATGAAATTCATCATCATTCCCACAAGTCACATGGTTGAGAGTACAATTTGGTTGCTATTCTTTATCCTTCTGGTCAACGTACATGAATCTGCCAGAAATCCTGCATCTATCTGCTCAAGAATGTGCACCTCCATAGCAAACCACACTCCCTGAACTAAACGGAAATCACATCTCAAGGTCCTGTCCCTCTTGGTTAGAAGAGGTTTCTTCACTGAGATTTCAGGGGCTGGGAACATTGCTGTGAACCCAAGTGCTGCCCACACACTCACACGGCAGTGTGTGAGTCAGAAACGGCACAGAGTCTGAGGACACTTACGGTTGGCACAGCTTGATGAGGTCCTGGTCAGTGGTGCCTGGTGGGAGGCCTCGAATGTACAGGTTGGTTTTACTCAACTGTTCCCCGCTGCTGTTGCTGCTGCTGTTGTTGCTGCTGCTGTTTGTGCTGGGGCTGGGAGGAGCCATGGGGTGGGGAGCTGGTGCATAGGACTGCTGCAAACAGAAAGAGCTGTTACTGGACAAACAAGCCAGCGCACCTGTTCCCAGGCCAGCAGCGCAACACGAAAGCAAGGCAAGCTTCTGGTCCTCTCCAGTCCACACTCACACACACATCCCTACATCAGTGCTCTGCATGGCCTCTCAGAACATCTTTGCTTTCCCCTATACGGCCCAATGTTTGCATCAACTTAAGTCAGTCAGCAATCAGACAAAAGAGAGCTACCAGATGCTCCTGGCCAAAGCATATGGCTTTTGAATTTACCCCTGTCCACACTTACTCTTGTAACATCTATGAAGTAGCATGACAAAATATAACAGTTCATTCATGGCACCTAGCTCTGTCCCTAGCTAAACTTTAGCAGCCAAGGATCTTTGGTTTGCCTTTACTCTTTTGCTCTCTCCTTGTCTCCAAAGAAGCTTCATACTACTCTCTACATGACAGCTACTGTCCAGCACAATTCCTGAAGTAAAGAATAGATTCATAGAATCTATATAGTGATTCTATGAATGAGTGACTGAATGAATCCACCTTGGATTCTTCTCTCATTCCTAGAGGGGCTTCTTCATGCTGAATGTCCCCTGTTGCAAGACTGTGCTACCATTATGTCCTTACATGCAGATCATCTTAAATAATTCTAACTCGGGCTCTCAACCTGGGTGTCATGGATAATCTGGACAGAAGCACTGTTTCTTCATAGTTCGGCTGTCCTACTCACTGTAGGCTATGGAGCTGCACCCTTAGCATTTGCCTGCCAGAGTCTATGACAGCCTACCCCCAAGTATGATGAACAAACATGTCATCAAATGTCCCCCTGGTAGTGATGGCGATCTCCTCCCATTAAGCAACTACTGCTTTAATCAGTCACACCATTTTGTATCAAAATGAAAATGATAAAACAAGTGTTAGACTTCAGATGTACATGTAACAGTACGCATAATAATATATTCTAAAATTAGCAAATATATTTATTTACGCTCAGTTCTTTTTCATCTAGGCATATCTTCAAAAATTCTCAAATGACATTATCTGGATTGAGTCCCTGATCTGTCTCTTGTTGCCTGTGTTTATTCAATTTTTATTGCACAAGATGTAACCTAGAAGTTTGTTAAGCATCTGCTGTTTATCAGACTCTAGACTAGGTGGTATTCATATGAGGGTTAATGGGTTGATACATTTCCTGCCCTAAGGGAACATCCAAATTAGCATTGGAGAGACACATTAAGTAAGGAAGCCAAAACCATACTAGATAAAAACCAAATATGCTGAAAGCTAGGAAGGAAAACAAAAGAGAGCTGGAGAGTGATAACTTGAAATCAGAAGGACTTGGTTGGTAAGAGCCAACTAAACAGAGCTGAACTGAGAGTGGAAAGGGTGGGAGATTTCCATGCGAGGTCCAAGAATTGCCTGGCAGGGTAGAAAAAGAAGCATGTGGGGCTTTCAGGAAATTTAGTAAGGCTAGGTTTAGCCTCAGTTCAGTGGGAAGGATATAGGATCTTATGATCAAGGTCACAGTCAGCGGTATCTCCATGGTATCTCACCACTTAACTGACCCAGCAGGCTTGCCCACTGGGCATGTTGATTATGCTACTTCTTTTACATTGAGTTTGTTCAGTTTCTCTTCATTTTCTTCTCTCAAACAACCATGTTATCCCTTAACTTTGTTCCATGGCACAAAAAGTTGAGTATTTTGATATATGAGTAAGGACATTTTTGCTATTGTGCCCAAAACTTGCTGTTTGGTCATTACTAACTTCCCAACTCTGATAAATAAATCTTCAGGTTAAAACCCAGCCAAGCTTCTCCAGTGGAATCTGGATGAATATACTCATTGTGTCTGACTACTATTCTGAGTTACAATTGAGAAAATCTGGGATAGTTATATAGAGTACTCTCAGTGGCAAGGGAGAATCTAGCCATATATATTTAAATAATTGTTATTACTAATATTGACTATGCTGTTAATAACATACAGGGACCATTCACTCACTAAGGTTTTTTAAAGACCATATGGCATAGAAGAGCACTATTATTTTTAAATCATTTTCCTTGTTGTTCTGGGGATTGAACTCATGGCCTTGTACTTACTAAGGCAAGGGCTCTACTACTTAAGGCACTCCCTCAGTCCTTTTGATTTGAATTTGTTTTTCAGATAGGGTCTGGCACTAACTTTCCCTGACCAGCCTTGGACCAAGATCCTCCTTACTCCGCCTTCTGAGTAATTTGAACCACAGGCATGCACCACCACATCAAGCCTATTTTGAGATAGTGTCACTCTAATTGTTGTCTGGATTGGTCTTGAACTGTGATCCTCCTATTTCCACCTACTAAATAACTGGGATTACTGGCACTCACCACCATGCCCAGTCAAGAAGAGTACTATTATCATTCTCTTTATGTCAACCAGATTATTGCATCTCAGAGAGGTTAAGTCTAGAGTTGATAAATAGCAGGTGCTTACCTAATTTCTATGCTACATCTTGTACAATAAAAATTGAATAAACACAAAACTTATAGAGGAGAGAGGAGGCAAAATTTTAGCACCACTCAGGAGCCTTGTTTCTTACTATAATATCTATTTTATACCTTCTGCCATTTCCAATTTTGCCAGTCTATATTTCCAAGTGGCTTTAAGATGCTGCTTCTTAGATTTAGTACATCAAAGGGCAGTCATTACATATGTTCCATTTCTCAATTCCCCATGCCAGCAGCCCACTTACTTGAGCATTGTGTCATCTTCTTCAACTTCCATGATAAAAAACTCAACAATGGCTTCATCTAGTCTCTCATCCTAGATCTCAGAGTACCCTAAGCTACGAAAACCTCTGAATTCCCATTCTTTTTCTAGGCCAGAGTCAATATATATATATGGCATGCAGAAACTTCAAACTTCTTATCTACTCTCCTTTCCTCCTGCTTCCCTGTTTAATCCTTATGTTCATTTGAGGGGTGACGGTGAGAGTGGGGGAAGAAAAACACAGAACTGTCAAATGCGAGCATAATGTGGTCAAGAATTAGGGAATGGGGAAGTGAGAGAGCAAGTATGATAGGACTGAGGCCCAGAGCTGACATATCCCTTCTTTGAAATAAACATTTTCTTCATGGTTTCCTTAGTTCTATATAATGCAGAACTATTTAAAATGTAGAATATTAAAAATTGATATATTTTAATGTAGACTGGTAGAGGAGAATACATTCTTCCCATTGCCTTTTGGAATTTAATATCGCAGAAAGCTCAAATTCTTTGCTGGTATAAAAAAGTCTGACTTACTTCCCAACTGCCAGTATTCTGTTTCACTCCTCTGACTCACTCAACACTTCAGCTTTTTCTCTTTATAAGCCCTCCATACAGTAGGTGGTTAGTATGTGTTGGCTAAAGGGCTTCCTGGTTATCTGATGACAGGTCGGATGGAATTTATCTTTTCCTTTCCTTGTGTGCTTTATTCTCTTAACATTCCCTGAATGTTTAAGGCCACTTTCAGCTCTCCTCTCTCCAAATTCTTTGAATTCCATCCTGTACTCAAGCTTCTCTTAAAATGAGACTTTGATTAAAGCAATTTTTCCCTTGCATAGCCTTTACAACCACCAGGGAGCCAGAAAAATGTCTCCAGCTTTATGTATCGCAGATCAGATAGACCAGTTCAGACGGAGCCATTGGCTGATCAAATAAGAGAGCAGTGGCTACAGCACAGCAAGGTCAATACATGTTTACTTAATTCTTTTTCCCCCAGGGCACTTTGCAAGCATTTCCATAACCAGAACACTATTTAGTAAATTGCGTGATGCCTAAAGCAATCAATGTATTCTCCAACAAGTCCAACTTACTTATTCATGGGGAAAAGCAAACAAACAAACAGATAACAACAGCAAAAGTCAAAAGCAAACCAAAGTTGAGATGAAGATAGGCAACTGTATGCATGGGAATGAGATGTGTGCTTTGTAAACAGGAATGGAAGTGCCCCATTGTAGAGAAAAGGAGTATTTCAGAAGCTCTTTGAAAAAGACACACTACCAAAGGTGGCTGTCTGTGTCCAATTCTGGTTTGTGAATCCAGAAATCCCACTAAGAGAAAAAGACTTCTCAGTGTCATTGAACCAATCAATGTACAGATTTTAACACACAGTGCAGGGACTCTTGCTAATATTTACTATTTCATTTATCTGTTGAGGAAGTCCAGTGACTGAGGTAGCAGTGAGCATTGTAAATCATTCTTTGCTTTTACAAATTATAAATTCCTTCCTCTCCACCCATTTTCAAAATAACATCCTTTAATCAACATAACATTTGTAGAAGTTTCTCAGAATGTCTGACAAATGCACAAGCCTAAATGAATTAATTTGTGCAAACCAAAAACAATTTTGTATGCTCCAACTGCCAAAGACAGATGACGAAACTACGGCATCTTAAAAAAAAAAATTGTCAATAATCTCCAGGGATTAATTTGTCCCAGCAGCCACTCTCTTGATTAAAGTGGCTCTTGCTTCCTGTCTCAATTCTTTGTCTCTAGAGGGATTTGGAATTTTATCATTGATTAACTTTTAAATCATTTTGAGCCACTGAGGAAGGGATTTTAAAATGATAGTAAAAAATATTTTTCCTTCAGACAAAATTGACTTTGCTCTATTACTCAAAGTCACACTCTATAAATCCTTTTTAGAAACAGGGAGGGCTTGTGGTTTGGGGTTACTTAGCACCATGTCGACTGTTGCAACAGGGCAAGGGATTGCCATGAATGTGCAGAGTCAGCATGGTCAGCAGCAGCAGAAATGGCAGATTTTCAGAAGTGGGAGTCTGGGTGATACTTGGACTGAGGGAGAGAGAGGACTTGTCTTGAAGCAGCACGTGCTTGATAAGGCACAGACACCAGGCTTTTCTGAGATGTTTCTTGAGGTGGCCCTGCTGGGAGGGAAGGGTGCATGGGGGATTAGAGAAAAAAGGAAAAGCTACTTAATCAAGCACTGGGGCTGCAGGCCAGAAAGCCCATCCCAGTATTCTC